TTCCTAATTTCACCATCATATTTGAGGGACAATTTTGCTGGGTACATAATTCTTGGTTGGAAATTTTTCTCTTTCAGGGTTTTATATATACCATCCTATTGTCTTCTCGCCTGCATGGTTTCTGCCAAGAAATCCGAGCTTAGTCTTATTGGTTGCCCTTGTAGGTAACTTTTTGATTTTCCCATGCTGCTCTCATGATTCTTTCTTTGTCTTTGGTTTTGGTAAGTTTGATGATGATATGTCTGGGTGATTTTCTTTTGGAGTCTATCCTGTTTGGGGTTTGTTGGGCTTCTTGAATGGATATATTCTCATCTTTCATCATACCAGGAAAATTCTCTTCCAACAAATCTTTGACAATTTTCTCTGGTTTTATTTGTTTCTTCCTGTTCTGGAATTCCAATGACATGTAGGTTATTCCTTTTGATGGTATCTTACATGAGCCCTAGGCTTTCTTCATTTTGTTTTAATCTTTTTTCTGATTTATCCCTTTCCAAAGGTATTTGCCTTCAATCTCCCTAATTCTGTCTTCCATTGATTCAGTTCTGCTCCTTTGCCCATTCAATGTCTTACCTATTTCTGAAAATTTAGTATTAATCTTCTGAATTTCTGTGTGTAGATTTTGTATAATTTCTAATTTTTCATTTATTTTGTCATTTTTTCTTGTATTGTCTTTTAAAATTGTTCTAGAGTTTTCTCTGTGTTTTCTTTGATCTGTCTCTCAATTCGTTAAAGATACCTAAATATAATTCTTTTGAATTCCTTATCAGGGAGTTCCAGTGCTGCATCTTCTCAGGGATGTGTTTTGGGTCTGCATTCTGGTCCCTTGTTTCTCCTGCTTTATCTTGCTTCTTTGTGTGGACCGTGATACTCTATTGTCTCCAAGGCATTGTGATGTTTTTGTGTTTATATTTAATTGGTGATTGTATGTTGGAGTGACTTGCCCACAATTTTCATTTTCTTTGTTTTGTTTGTATGTTATCTATGCAAGCAGGGCACTGTGCTCCTCTATTTGCTAGTTGACAGCATTTATACACTCACTACCTATCTCTTTTCCTTTTGTCAGCCTCTCGTATGTCCCTGCCAACCTTGGCAAACAGAGCCTATTCTTAGGTTCCTAGAATCTGAATGAGAATGCTATCACTTTAAAATCCAAAATGGTTGCTACTTGTAAAGATTCAAAATGGCTGCGCCCTTGGTCATTTTAAATATCCAAAATGGCCACCACTTGTAAGCATTCAAATTGGCTGCACCCTTGGTCATTTTAAATATCTAACATGGCTGCCACTTGTAAACATTCAAGATGACTGCACCCTCAATCACTTTAAATATCCAAAATGATTGCCTCTTATAAACATTCAAAATGGCTGTGTCCTCAGTCACTTTAATTATTCAAAATGGCTGCCAAGTGTAAACAATCAAAATGGCTAAACCCTCCAGACAGCAGAAAGTCAACATCTCAGGTTGTCTTCCTTCTTGCTATTTCCTTTCCTAGTCATAGACCACTAGCTCAGTCTTCCCTGCAGCCCTTGGTGACCAGGGCTGATTTTTAGGTCAATTCTCAGATCCTAATACCACTTGGAAATATTCAGGCTGTTGGTCCTGTCAGAGTAGCTGACAGTCCACAGCTCCAACCATCTCTGTTCTGTTCAGGTTTTTCCACTAGTTGGTGCCTAATCCATTTCTATATAGTTCCTTCCAAAGCCCAGGGCTCCAGGACTATCTTCAGTATCTCTGTCAATTGCTTTTTCTTTTCTTTGTTGAAGAGGGTCTGTTTTGCTTGTCTGCCTATTCCTCCATCTTACCGGAAGTCCAAATACATCAATTCTTTGGTCTTCCTTATTAATTGTTTAATTTTCACATGCATATAAAGCAATTTAAAGTGCTATGGCTTGTGTCAGGCACATTTCAGTCTTCGAAGTGATAACCTCACTCTTTAACACTTTAAAGAGGTCTTTTGATGAAAATGTACATGGTACATTTCTTTTTTACTTTTATAACCAGAAGGCTGGTGGTTCAAACCCACCAGCCACTCCTCAGAAGGAAGGTTGGGCAATCCTACTTCCGTAGTGATACTGCCTCAGAAACCCAAGGAGGAGTCGCTATGAGTCAGGGCCGACTCGACGGCACATAACAACAACAACATGGTGAAAATATACACAAGAAGACATTTGTCAACATAACAACTTCCCCATTTACAGCTCAGGGACATTGATGATATTTTCCATGTTGTGCTACCATTATTGTTATCATTTTCCAAAATATTCCACCACCATTATCATAAACTCAATGTACCACAGACAAAAGCTTTCCCTTTTCCCCTTCCCTCCTATCCCTGATAACCAATATATATATAAATATATATATATATATATATTTTTTTTTTCCTCCAGCCTATCTAGGAATTTACCCTCCCCTCTGCTCCCATCCCTGGTAACCAACAAGGAAATTTTCCTTCTATGTATAAACCTTTCCTTCACTTTTTACAATAGTAGATTAATACAATATTTGTCCTTCTATGATTAACTGATTTCACTCAACATAATGTCCTCCAAATTCAT